ATTAATTATTTTTAGTGATATTTCATTTTTTCATTTTTAGTAATTCATTTTTCATTTGACAAATCTTTTCATTTTTTTCAACTTATATCATTTTTTTAGTGATATTTCATTTTTTCATTATAATTAATTAGTGTCAATTAATTGATTAAGTAGCATCAATTAATACTAAAATTATTAATTAGTATCAATGCCTAATTAATGGCTAAATTATTATTGTTGGCTAAAATGGCTAAATTATCATTTCACTAAGATTAATTAGTGTTACAAAAATTATTGTTTTATTAATAATATCAATTAGTATAAAATTATTTTATTTTTTTTTATTTTAAATTAATTAGTGTCAATTAATACTAAAATTATTAATTAGTGACTAAAATGCTTAATTATTATATTTTTTTTATTAAGAAAACACTGAAAACATCCACCCTCAAAAAAAAAAACATTGAAACTCTAGCTCCGGCAGTCACAGCGGCGCTAGGGTTTGAGATCACCTCTTCATCTTCATCTTCTATGCCAAGATCTTCATTGCCGAAGGCGGAGAGACCAAATTTGGGCAATGGTAGACCCACCACCGCCTCTGACACCTCTTTTCTCTCTCTCTCTCTCAATTTCGAAAACACTAGGCGGTAGAGGAGGAAGCATAACAGAGGTAGTGGTGGTGGTGGTGGATTCGCCACCGTCAGTGGCGTAGCCAGGAATTTAATGGAGAGAGGGCACAAATTAATGAGAACATCAGTGTGTTTGGTTTGAATTTTTTGGATTAAATTTTTTGAAAATTGAGTTTTTTGGTTTTCGTATTTTTTTGTTTTTAGTGAATATTTTTAAAATTTTAAATATTTTTTTTTTACTTTTTTAGATGTACTTTACTTAGATGTATTTAAAAAGTAAAAAATTTGTGAAAAATATTTTAAAAATTAATAAATACATAAAAATACAAATAATGAACAGAATTTTCGTATTTTTTGTTTTTGTATTTTTCGTATTTAGTAAATTTTTAAAAGGTTTTTTTCACAATTTTTTTACTTTTTAGGTATATTTATGTTAGGTATGTCTAAAAATTAAAAAAATTGCTAAAATATTAAAAAAATTCAGTAAAAATAAAAAAATAAAAAAAAAACATGGAAAACAAGAAAGTATAATTTTTTGAAAAATGTTTTTGGAAAATTCTAACCAAGCAATTTTTTTTTTTTTTTATAATAATAAACAACAATGAGATATTACTAAACTTAAATATTAAAAGTTCATTTGGATAAATGTGAATTTTAAATTAAAGGATTTGAGATTAAATTTTATATAAATATTGGGGAGTAACTATTTATAGGTAGATTGGAAAATTAAAAAAGAAAATAAGTTGAGATAGAAATAATATATTTTAGTAGAGAAATTCTATAAAACACACCATAAAAAAAATGCCTATCATATGTTGCAATTATGATATTCGTAGTCTTTAGTTATGACATATTATAGTGTTAGATATAATTTAGTTATAACTTCTTATGGTTGTTATTTTGGTTATGACTATATATCAAGTAATAATTAATTATGACTCATTTTGATATTAGTTATGACCTATTGTAATTTTTTATTTTTTTTTATAATTGAAGATGTGTTACTTGATTATAATTTATATAGTGGTCATTTTAGTTATGAATGGAAAAAACACATGGAGGACAAACTCTACATGTTAAATGTACCTAACAATCCAATAAATTTCATATATCTTCATTGAGGTTAATTATGTTTGCATGTCAATAATGATAAATATCACCATTATATTGAAATTTTCATAAATAATAATATAACTTATCATAGTCTCTTTACTTTCAATCAAAATAACTATTATTGTTCTCATAATTTTAAAAATGTCATTGACATTTCACTTTAAATAATATTTTTATAAATTTTTTTATTTAAAATATTTTCTTTATGTTTGGAAAAAAAAAAATTCCAAAAAACCCCAGGAGGGGCACGTGACCCCCCTGGCCCTTGTGTGCCTCCGCCTCTGGCCACCGTTGATCGCGACTGTCTATTTGGCTCCCATAGACACCGCCATTGTTGTACGAAATTGTCACTCCCCGCACTTCCCCATACTTTTCACCAAGTCGAAAGCTAGGTTTCCGTCACCCTTCGCCACCGCGAGCCTCTCTAGGGCGGTGATCGTCACTCTCAATGGATTGTCTTCCCTCAGATTTGTTCAAATTCAGATTTACAGTGAAGATAGTTATGATACATCAAATGAAATCACTTATTAGTCATGCTTTTATTGCATAGATCTGAATCCAAACATAGAGAGAGAGAGAGAGAGAGAGAGCTGGGGTTCGTTGAAAATCACCTCCCTTCGCCGGAAATCGCCTCTCTAGTTCGAGCGAGAGAAATGAGTGTGTTTGGTTTATATACATGGCACACTTGCAATAACTTGAAATTGTGAGAGACATTTAAGTCATTTTACCCCTCAAATCCCAGCTGCCCGCTTAAGCTGAATAAAAAAACACCTCCTTCCCAACTCAAAGAATAATCACTCTTTTGACTTAATTTAAGTTAAAAGTTGATCACTTGAGCTACACCAAATACACAAAAATCGCTTAATTTAAGTTAAAAGCTGAAATAAGCAGGATTTAAGCTCTACCAAATACCCCCAATGCAAAGTGTTGGCTTTCCTATAGTTGTATATCCAGATTAGAGGGTGTTGATTGAGTTTGTGAGTTCTATCACTAATTTCTTTTTAATAATTTAAATCGTTTATTTTATAATATTCTTTGTGTATATATCATTTATAAAAGAAAAATTGATAAAGATTCATGTAATTAATGTATTTTCTCCAAATTTTAATGAAGATTAATATAATCTATCCAAACATAGGTTATATTATTTTTCTTTTTTTTTCTTTTCTTTTTTCTTGTGTGTGTGTAGATGGTGGGGGTTTGGGGTTGATGAATAGTGTCCGAGGCCTTTCACATCCTGGCCAGCCTATTTGAAGGGTGAAAAGAGGAAAAGGGGTGCCGGCTGTACAGCAGGCACTGCTGTGCCATTTCAACCCATGGTTTTGCTTTCTTTTTTTTTTTTAATATAATTTTTCCTTTATTTTTTTTTTTATTGGTGTGCGTTGCATGCATAGCACACCCTGCTGTGCTTAAGCACAGCAGGCACCCCTTGTCCGTGAAAAGAAGGGTTACCTTTTACATTGAAGTTTGGGTCTGTGCAGTTATGGAATGGACTTAAAGGCTCAAAGCCCACATAATTTATTTTGAGAAAAAAACAGCAGTTGGACAGTAATTTTTTTATTTTATTTTATAAAGCAATGGAAAATTTTTATATATTTTAATAATTAAAATACTTTACTTTTTTATGATTTTATAATTTTTTTTTTTGTACTGTCACCAGTTATTTCCCCATTTATTTTATGCATTTGAAAATTGCAAGTGACATTAGAAGTTGAAACTGGCCCTATCAAGCATCATCTAGGATAGACATTCTCTTTGTGGCTAAGAAATGTGGAGTTTAGATAGGGCTTTCATGGTTGGTTTTTGGTGATATATATATATCATGCTCGAAACTGGGAATAAAATATATATTCCAAAAACATTGTATAAAGAAAAAAAAAAAGAATGAAAACTTAAAAGTGATATAATTAGATAATTATTCATTTGACCCAAAAAATGAAAATGTTGTTACTTATTGCTTGCTAGTTTTTTTATTCATAAATTACTAGAGTAATCATTATTTTTTATATGCTTTTATGTTTACATTTCGACCTATGAATATTCTGTACTAAGAAACAACCAATTACCCTATTTATCGACTTTCAAAACTTAAACTTAATAATTATTTGATATGTGTGATTGGTAGATTATATGTATCAGGAAATTAATCAGAACAAAATCCTAACAAAAAATAATATAAAAATAAAAAATCTCGTGTAATTTGTATAATCTAGTTTCCAAATGAAATTGGTAACATTTTCACTTTTTATTTCGCAAACAAGTATACTAAAATAGTCAATAACATTGAATTCTCAAAATTTTCATTTAATGTTTTAGACAATGAAGACCAAAGCCCATAAAAAGAAAATTAAAAAATCATTTAGTTGGAGAAATATATAAAATCCAAAAATTGCAAGTTACATGATAATTCTTGAAAGTGGATGGTGTGAGGGGTAAAATCAATTTAGATTATTACTATGACATATACATGTAATTTTTCAACTAATTAGATTGTTCAAAAACAGTAAATTGGACCGAATTTACCTCCAACTCAATTGATCAAAGATGATCACTTTAAACTGTCCAAAAACACTCTGCATGCAAATCCAAAAATTAAAACAATAACAAAAACAAAAACAAAAATACTCTGCATGAAAATGTGTCACATAGTATTGTGTTTGATCACCATGAAGCATCTCTAACTCTTCATTAAATTTAAATTTAATTAAAAGTTTAGTTAAAAAAAATGCAATCCACCCGTCAAACTTATATGAAATCAAATTTTGATTAAATATTTAATCAAATGATGGATGAATTATATATTTAATCAAATCTACAATAAATTTTTTTTTTCATTTATGTTTGATGAAATTGTTAAAAGATGAATTAGTTTGTTAACACAAAACCAAAAATTAATAAAATAAAATTTTAAGATAAATTACAAATACACCCCATGAAATTTGTTTAAATTATAAATTGTCTCATGTGGTTTAGAAAATTACAAAATTGTAAGAATTTTTTATTTAACAAAATTAATAGAAAGAAATTAAATTCTAACTACTCTCTCATACAACAATAAAATCTAAATTATTAATTGAAATATATTTCAGACATCATTAAAAATTATTAATTAATTTGATGATTTATTAATAAAATGAGTCATTTATCATGTCATTACAAACTTGAAGGTGAAAAATGTAATTTGCAAAACCATAAAGGGTAATTTATAGTTTAAACAAAACTTAGAGGTGTAATTCTAATTTACACAAAATTGTTATCTAACCAACCGCCAGAACCTCAGCCATAACCAACAGAAACAGAGCGCATAAGAAAAAAAAAGAGACACCAGGAGGAGGAGAGAAACAGAGATGGCAATGGCGACCGCACTTCGCAGACTCTCTTCTTCAGTACACAACCAGCCAATCCATCGTGTCTTCAATGGCGGCTCATTCTACTACCTGGTTCTTTTCCTATTGCATCTCTTTTAATGCCTATCCATGTCCTGTTTCACTACGAATTGATACTCACTTATATGGTTTTTGTTTTACAGTCGTCTTTGCCGAACGAAGCTGTCTATGAGAAGGAAAAATCGCGCAAATCAGTTAAGACCGTTAACTGTCTCATATAGTGTTTCACTATCTGATGTGATTTTTATAGCTTGTTTTGATCTCATTTCATGTTACAGTGGCCAAAGCAATTGAATGCTCCGCTTGAAGCTGTCGATCCTGAGATTGCCGACATCATCGAGCTCGAAAAAGCTAGACAGTGGAAGGTATACAGTCTCTCTCTCTCTCTCTCTCTCTCTCTCTTTCTATATACAAACATGGTTGTGTATTCGTATCATTAGATTGAGTATTTGAACATTTGTGTATTTTTTTACCAATATTAGTAGAGAATACTATCGAGTGTATTTGTTTCTTTTTACTTGTTTGGTAGCCAGGAAAATTGATGGAGAGTTCAGAATTTTGAACCTTATTGTTTTATGTTGCATTGCTTAATTTTGCTCAAAGATGAGAAAGTCATTTTAATTTTACTATTGAATGGAGGGATTGTTTTCTCAGTTTTCAAGTAAAAGATCAATCTAAGGTTCAAATTTTGGGTATTTTAGTTCCATTTTCTGAGCAACCAAATGGACAGTTGGAACATGAAGTTGTTACCCGCAGTTTCATTTTTAATTTAGTCTCTGATGGGAATTCATCTTGTGTTTTGTGAAGGGACTTGAATTGATACCGTCAGAGAATTTCACATCCGTCTCTGTGATGCAAGCAGTTGGATCAGTAATGACTAACACCATCAGTGAAGGATATCCAGGTGCTAGATATTTTGGAGGAAATGAGTATGAAGATCCCTAAATTTACTTTTTAATTTTATTTCTTATTTTCTTATGCTTCTCGAGATATATGTAAATTTCTATTGATTAATGTATCAGCTAACATTAGCCCTCCTACATTTTGTTTGTCTAATTCCTCTTTAATTGAATTTTGTCTTTTAGGTATATTGACATGGCAGAATCCTTATGCCAGAAGCGTGCTCTAGAGGCATTTCGGTTGGATCCTGCAAAATGGGGAGGTATGTGTCATACATATGTATGGCAAAAATGCAAGAGACATCTTCAGATATAATTTAAAAATAAAATTAAAAAACTTAATAGAAAGAACATAGGCTTTCTTCATGCCATTCTTGAGGAAGATTCCAAATTTGATGAGGAAAATCAATCATCAAATCACGCACCAGCAATCAGCAGTCTTTAAGATTCTAAACAGTCTGAGTCATATTGAAGATTTTAGGGGAGTGATAAAACTTTAAGTAAAAAAAATAATTTAAAAGTAACTTAATTTCTAATCTTATTTTATGATGCAGTGAATGTGCAGTCCCTATCTGGGTCTCCATCTAATTTTCAAGTTTACACTGCTTTATTAAAACCTCATGAAAGAATCATGGCTCTTGATCTTCCTCATGGTGGGCATCTTTCACATGGCTATCAGGTGCTTACAACTTCTATTATGGTTTTCCTGCTAAATTACTGGTTCCTGTTTTCAGCTTATGATTATCCTCTCTGGTTACATACTATGGTAGTCTCATTTTCCCACATTTTTTCCTATTGGGTAGACGGACACAAAGAAGATATCTGCAGTATCAATATTTTTTGAGACAATGCCATACAGATTGAATGAGAGCACTGGCTATATTGACTACGATCAGGTTTTCTTCTTTGCTTATTATTGTGGTTCTTACCTTGCTACCTTGACCCACATTCTATTCAACTTTCATTCTTATGGAACCTTCTATGCGAATCAAAGCATTTTTCATAATGTTTTCCTTTGCTTATTCTATTTTTGTCAAATAATTGTGATGACAATAGGAAGAGATGCTTGAACCACACGTAACTCTGAAAATACTCGAAGGAAAAAGTAGAGTTTCTTTAACATAATGCATGAATCATTTGATCAAATTATTGTGTTATTGGCCCTTTTTCCATTTCCTGCACTTCATTTTTTTAAAACCTATACAAGCAAGCATATAGACTGTTGAAGTTCAACAGGTTCTCCTCAGTTAGGGAAAAGCCAGTTTTAATCATTCATGTTATCTACTTTGACATTTCAAGTGTGCCTTTGTAAAATGTGCAACCTCTACCTGTTTGTTAGAAGTAGGCTTTTCATGATTTTGAAAATGTCAAATGGCAGCTGGAGAAAAGTGCAACACTCTTCAGGCCAAAACTGATAGTTGCCGGTGCTAGTGCTTATGCACGTCTCTATGATTATGCACGCATTCGCAAGGTAAATCCACTAGATAGATCAACGACATTTTAGTCAATATTTTAGTAGGGCAATGATAGAGACCACTAAAAGTGGTGCTCTAAAGCAACCACTAATGACGTGGCATCTACTTTTTAAAAAAAAAAAAAAAAAAGACACAACAACATTGTGGCAGTGGGTGGGACCCACTGTCACATCCTTAGTGGTGGCACTAATTAGTGCTCCCACTCATTTTCCTTACTATGTATTGCACAGGTCTGTGACAAGCAGAAAGCTATTATGTTGGCAGATATGGCACACATCAGTGGGTTGGTAGCATCTGATGTCATCCCATCTCCCTTTGACTATGCTGATGTGGTGACCACCACAACCCACAAGTCACTTCGTGGGCCACGTGGTGCCATGATTTTCTTCAGGAAAGGGCTGAAGGAGATTAATAAACAAGGACAAGAGGTAAGTTGTACAAAGAAAAATATTTTAGCACCATTATTATAATTCATTTGTCTTTTTTGAGGGGGAGTTTTATGTTTTGTTTAATGAAATTGCAGTAGTATGGGTTGAAGTAAAACAAATATTAATACTCTTAGCTTTTCTTGAAGGTGATGTATGACTATGAAGACAAAATCAATCAGGCAGTCTTTCCTGGACTTCAAGGTGCCCCACACAATCACAAAATTACCGGCTTAGCAGTTGCACTGAAACAGGTTGGAAATTGACAGGACAATATTCATTGAAACTTTCTAGAACTTATATACTACATGGTGTGAATGTATATGACTATGGATTGCAGCCATTTATGGTTAAAAAAAAAAATTTGATTATTGCCTTTGGCCCAGTTGTCAAAATGAGGCTTTCTCAAGGTTTGAAGCCATATTGGATCCAAAATGGTCTTAAAATAGAGCAAGGATCCTCTAGAGTGATTTTTCCCTAAAGTTTCCTAGAGTGTTACATTGTGTGGTTAAGATTTACTGGCAAGTCACATCAATTTTTCTGATGTGACTTGCCAGTAAATCTCAACCACACAATGTAGTACTCTAGGAAACTTTAGGAAAATTTCACTCTAGAGGATCCTTGGTGCTTAAAATACTCAAAAAAGTAATCAACAATTTTATTCTTCATGTGATTTGAGGTACTACAGCCTATTACTCTACTCCTACTACTACTAAACTCTACATTGCTCTCTTTTTTCAGACCTACCTTGTACATACATACACAATACAAACATGGGACTAGTGCTGATGTGACAATTTTTTTTCTTTTTTATTTTGTTAAATGTATTCTAGAAGCAGCTCTCTCTCTCTCTCTCTCTCTCTCTCTCTCTCTCTGTGCAATTGTGGAGGGAAATTTGAAATTACAATAATGCATTTTTTGGAAAACCAAACACATCCATTTTCAAAACATAGTTTTCAAATCATTTTTTTGAAAAATAACTCAAAAAAGTGAAACCAAACATGATGAATACTATTTTCATAGTTGTAGTTTTTAGATCAAACAAACTAATTTTGTTAATGGCGTGTGACATGCTGTTGAATGGATCATTGTAGACATATATGTTTATATGTGATCTTTGCAGTGATATCATGTAGTTTTATTGAGGCTCTTTGGTTATTCTGTATCATGATTCAGAGCAAATTCTTGGGAGTCTAGAGAAAAATGTTTTCCTGTTGGCCCATAGAGGGTTACTTTTTGAAATTATTCCAAGTACGCGTGCTAGTTTGTTTTGGGACTCTTAGCCTACATATGAAGATAAATTGTTCGAACCTCTAATTTTGTGCTCATATTCTATTGTAATGCAGGCTGTAACTCCGGAGTACAAAGCCTATCAAGAGCAGGTTCTCACTAATTGTTCAAAGTTTGCACAGGTATGGCCCAATGACATGTCAGAACTTGTTACATCAAGTTCTCATGGGTACAGCGTTCTCTTGTTCTCATACTTCCAAAGTTTTAATCAACGTGGTGCTCCCTCATCACTCATTCCTCATCTTGATGGAAAAGTTTAACTGGCCCTCCAATTTTGCAGACTTTAATGGAGAAGGGTTACGAACTTGTTTCTGGTGGGACTGCGAACCACTTAGTTTTGGTGAATTTGAAAAATAAGGTAAAGAAGAAAATGAATTCAATCTTTCAGTAGTTTGAAGAATTTCATTATTGAAAATTTTGTTTAGGAAATTGTCCAATTCTACTATAGCTACAGCTTTTTCACCAATGCCAAGGGCTTTATCACAAGCGATTAACTATACATGTCTGATATAGGACAATTCAAATGGCCTCATAAACTGCATGAGAGATATTGCTCCTTCCAGTTGATATCATTGCTAATTTTTTTTCATGAAAAAAGACGAAATGTCACTTTTTGATTGGATTTCCTTTCCACAGGGTATTGATGGTTCCAGAGTTGAAAAGGTGTTGGAATCTGTTCACATTGCAGCCAACAAAAACACTGTTCCTGGAGATGTGTCTGCCATGGTTCCTGGTGGCATCAGGATGGGTAGAGTCCTCTCCCTTGATCAGAATGTAATTTGTACATCAATAATCTATTTTAACTAACAAGGTTTATGAACTCTAATGCTTCAGGAACCCCCGCTCTTACTTCCAGGGGATTTGTCGAGGAGGATTTTGCCAAAGTTGCCTACTTTTTTGATGCTGCTATAAAGTTGGCTTTAAAGATAAAGGCTGAAACTAAAGGTTTGTAAACTGATTGTATCCCAATTCTAATAATCGTCAATATTGTCCATTTGTATGTAGAAGTACACTGCTCCTCCTAGAACTTATCTTGTTTGGTGAACATAATACATTTGACACAGTCCGAGTGATCAAAACTCGCACATTCTACTGCTAACTAGGGGGTGCCTGCTGTTTTTTGAAAGCTAGGAACGAAGTTGAAAGACTTTTTGGCAACAATGCAATCTAGTGCTCCCATCCAATATGAGATTGTGAACCTGAAACATGATGTTGAAGAGTATGCAAAACAATTCCCAACAATTGGATTTGAGAAAGAAACCATGAAATACAAAAATTAAATGCTGCTGCACCAGGTAAATGCTTCATTGTTGAAATCAGAACTTGCAGCATAAGTCTCATTTTTTCTTGAGGATGATGTCCATACATTATTCTTTTTTTTTTCTCTTTTTTTTTTCAAACTTCAAAAAGATTTATTTTTGTGCGCTTATTATTTGAACTGGTGGTTATATCTTCTGGTGGTGCAGGTACCAAATGTAAAAAAACAGATGATTATACCAGTTGATGAAGGGGGATGGTGAAAGTAATGTGTGGGCAACATGTTAAGGATGTGAACTTAAAGCTTTTATCTATAATTACCAATAGAATCTTGTGTTCCATCTCCATGAAATTGTATATGTATATTAACTTGAGGACCCTGCAAATCAATAAACTTCCTTTGATTACAAAAAGAGCTGCTTCATTTTCTGCTCTGTCATGATTGATGTGATTGTATGCACAATGGAAACTCTTTTGCTTAATTGTTTCAGCAGAAAGAGTATGACTACATTGGAGGATGCAACAATGAATACAAAAAAGATTTGACAAACTTATGTCCAAAGATGTGTTGATAACTGAAACTAAACTGCAAACTAAACTTTATTATGAACAATTCGAGCTCGACTCATTGAAAGTTCGTTTGCTAAATATATGAGCTCAACCTAAATATTCACGCTATGTATAAATCGTGCCAAGCTAAAAATAAATCCAAGCCTAAATTGGATAGGCTTGAGAACAAAAACGTACATAAATTAATATTTATATTAATGATATATCAAATATATTTTCATTGCTTTATTTTATTTCGTTGTTTATCTTTAGTGTTGGCACAAAAGTACTATTTGATTAATGATAAGTTATTCCATGCTTATGAATCGGGTAGTTTTACGTGAAAATTTGTGATTGGTAAAAGTGATGGAGTCCATAAATTTGTTATTTTGAAATCAGGCATAATGAAAATATTATGTTGTGTTTATATTTTAAATATGCTGCATTTTGATTATTTTATAACAGTGAATAACTATTTCAATTACAAATCTAAATATAACAATCAAAGATCAAATTTAAACTTAAGAAAAATCAAGTCCATTGCATGTGTTTTTTATGATAATGAGAAATATGCATTGGGAGGGAAATTTGTAGGTTAAAAAGAATTATTGAGCTCTGATAAATAAAAAATATATATTATTGAGGGGCAAAAAGGAAAATTTCAAATAAAAGGAGAATCTATATAAAGTATGTGATATTGGTAGAACCAATCCTTTTGAGAGCATTTGGTTATTGTCTAAGTGTATGATTGGAGTAGGAATGGCAACGGGTCGGATTGGGGATTACACTTTCCGTTTCTAATCTCTGAAGGTATAAAATTTCTCCTCCCCGATCCTGAGTGGGGAACCCATCACCCCCCTCCCTTGCCTCCTAATGGGGATCGGGTTTTTCCGACCCTAAAAAATCCCCGACATTTTTTTTTGAATTTTGCATATCCCATTTTATTTTTATTTTTATTTTTTTAGACAAATAAAAATAACATATATAAAAGTATAATCCAACAATATTTAAACATAAATATCCAAACAACAACAACATGACAAATAAGACACAAAACAACACCCACACCACAAAAAAGAAAAAAAATCCAAACAACACCGGTTTTTTGGTTTAAAAAAAAACATTTTCGAATACGGGGACGGGCCGGGTTGGAAAACCTATCACCATCCCGGCCCGAAAATTGTTAGGGATTCATTTTCGAATACTTTCTTAGACCCGTTAAGAGTATTTTTCAAAAAAAAATTATTGTAATCGGGTCGGGGGTGGGTCGCTATCGTGTCGGGTTCAAATTATTAACCCTAACTAAAATACCCTTTTTCATTCTATATAATTATTTTAACCCAAACTAATATACCAAATGGGGTCATTGTGAACTGTGGTCTTCTTGTTTCATGGACTAGCGGTGATAGCTCCATAATCTATATATTCTATGTGGAAATTGAGATGATGTTTTTTTATATATGAACAATATTATATAAATTAATATATGTTATTTAAAAAAATTATTTACTAACATGACAATTAAATTTTAAATATTATAATAAATATTACATCAATTAATAAAATTTATTTATTTATATAATATTACTCGTTATAACTTGCCTTGTGGCATTTTCCAATTGAAAAAAAAAAAAACTCAGATTATAGTAAAGATAAGGAAGATAAGCCAAGAAGGAGTAAGAGGGCTAGGACTGCCAAGTCCTTTGGCCCAGACTTCTTGACTTATATAATTAGTGTATTTTCTCAAACTTTTAATGAAGATTAATGTAATTTATCCAAAAATATATAATATTGTTTTTTTTTTGTTTTTTTTCTTTTGTGTGTGTGTGTGTGTGTGGATGGTGGGGGTTTGGGGTGGATGAATATTGCCCGAGGCCTTTCACATCTAAATAATGTTATATGCATTAATTAGCGTACCAATTGATAATATAATATAATTTAAGAGATTTTTGATATTTGTAATTTATATAATGAGTGATCAATAATAATGTCATACCTAATATTAATATACTAATTAGTATAATAATTAGTGCATGTAACACCACATTGACATCCAAGGGGTTGTGGCATTGTGGTAAGGCCTTGGGATTTAAGCCCCAAGGTCACAAGTTCAATTTCCTCCTTGAGCCAATCTCCTGGGCGAAACACTGTTGGTTAGGAGGTTGGACCTCAAGGATGCCTAATCAGCTACTTGGTGTGGGTTTAATGCTCCCCCACTGTGCGAGTCTTGGTGATCTCCTGCCTTGGGAGGTCGGGACAAGCTTCAGGACAAGCTTCCAGGTTATAGTCTCTTACTTCTTACTCGGAACGGACAACAGGACACCCTTGTGGGTTTAATGCTCCCCCACTGTGCGAGTCTTGGTGATCTTCTGCATTGGGAGGTCGGGACAAGCTTCAGGACAAGCTTCCAGGTTATAGTCTCTTACTCGGAACGGACTGTGCGAGTCCTGACTTCTTACTCGGAACGGACAACAGGACACCTTGGTGATCTCCTGCCTTGGGAGGTCGGGACAAGCTTCCAGGTTATGTGGGTTTAATGCTCCCCCACTATGCGAGTCCTGGTGATCTCCTGCCTTGGGAGGTCGGGACAAGCTTCAAGACAAGCTTCCAGGTTATAGTCTCTTACTCGGAACGGACTGTGCGAGTCCTGACTTCTTACTCGGAACGGACAACAGGACACCCTGGTGATCTCCTGCCTTGGGAGGTCGGGACAAAGCTTCCAGGTTATGTGGGTTTAATGCTCCCCCACTGTGCGAGTCCTGGTGATCTCCTGCCTTGGGAGGTCGGGACAAGCTTCAGGACAAGCTTTCAGGTTATAGTTTCTTACTTGGAACGGACTGTGCGAGTCCTGACTTCTTACTCGGAACGGACAACAGGACACCATGGTGATCTCCTGCCTTGGGAGGTCGGGACAAGCTTCCAGGTTATAGTCTCTTACTCGGAACGGACAATAGGACACCTTGGAGGTCAGGACACGCTTCCAGGTTATAGTCTCTTACTCGGAACGGACAACAGGACACCTTGGTGATCTCCTGCCTTGGGAGGTCGGGACAAGCTTCCAGGTTATAGTCTCTTACTCGGAATGGACAACAGGACACCCTGGTGATCTCCTCATGGGGCGCTTCTTTTCTTTTTTCTTGTGTGTGTGTGGGTGGTGAGGGTTTGGGGTTGATGAATAGGCCTTTCACATCCAGCCCAGCCCATTTGACGGGTGAAAAGAAGGGTCACCTTTTATGCTGAAGTTTGGGTTCTGTCTGTGTAGTAATCGAATGGACTTAAGGCTCAAAGCCCACATAATTTATTTTGGGAAAAAGCAGTTGGACAGTAATTTTATTTATTTATTTTATAAATCAGTGGAAAAAATTTATATATTTTAATAACTAAAATACTTTACTTTTTTATGATTTTATAATTTTTTTTACTGTCACCAGTTATTTCCCCATTTATTTTATGCATTTGAAAATTGGAAGTGACATTAGAAGTTGAAACAGGCCCTATCAAGCATTATCTAGGATAGACATTCTCTTTGTGGCTAACAAATGTGGAGTTTAGATGGGGCTTTCATGGTTGGTTTTTGGTGATATATATTGTAACTATATATATATATATATAATATATTCCAAAAACATTGTATAAAGAAAAGAAAAAAAAAAGAATGAAAAACTTAAAAGTGGTAGAATTAGATAATTATTCATTTGACCCAAAATGAAAATGTTGTTACTTATTGCTTGCTAGTATTTTTATTCATAAATTACTAGAGTAATTATTATTTTTATATGCTTTTATGCTTACATTTTGACCCATGAATATGATGTACAAAGAAAGAGCCAATTACCCTATTTATCAACTTTCAAAACTTAAGTTTAATAATTATTTGATATATGTGATTGGTAGATTATATATACCAAGAAATTAATTAGAATGAAATCCTAACAAAAAATGGAATAAAAAATCTCGTGTGATTTGTATAATCTAATTTCCAAATGAAATTGGTAACCTAGTGTGAATTTGGTTTTCCGCTTTTTATTTCGCAAACAAGTATTCTAAAATAGTCATTAACATTGAATTCTCAAAATTTGCATTTACTTTTTTATACAATGAAGACCAAAGCCTATAAAAAATAAAAAATAAAAATCATTTAGTTGCAGAAATATATATATATATATATATATATATTCATAATATGTGAATCCAAAAATTGCAAGTCACGTGATAATTCTTGAAAGTGGATGGTGTGAGGGGTTAAATTAATTTGGATTATTACTATGACATACATGTAATTTTTCAACTAATTAGATTGTTCAAAAACAGTAAATTGGACCGAATTTACCTCCAACTCAATTGATCAAAGATGATCACTTTAAACTGTCCAAAAACACTCTGCATGCAAATCCAAAAATTAAAACAATAGCAAAAACAAAAATACTCTGCATGAAAATGTGTCACATAGTATTGTGTTTGATCACCATGAAAACATCTCTAACTCTTCATTATATTTAAATTTAATTAAAATTTTAGTAAAAAAAAATGCAATCCATCCGTCAAACTTGTATGAAATCAAATTTTGATTAAATATTTAATCAAATGATGAATGAATTATATATTTCATCAAATCTTCAATAATATATATAGTTTTTTCATTTATAAAAAAAAAAAGGAGGAGGAGAGAAACCGAGATTGCAATGGCGACCGCACTTCGCAGACTCTCTTCTTCGGTGGACAAGCAGCCAATCCATCGTGTCTTCAATGGCGGCTCATTCTACTACCTGGTTCTTTTCCTATTGTATCTCTTTTAATGCCTGTCCATGCCCTGTTTCACTACGAATTGTTACTCATTTATATGGTTTTTGTTTTACAGTCGTCTTTGCCGAACAA